ATTCCCTTATGCCTTTTTTAAGGGCTTGGTGAACAGGGTTTCAAATTTAAGTACAGCTCACTGCCTGACCCACCAGTCCTCCTCTGGCTGCCTCACCTCCCAGGAAGCTTTCCTGACCTATTAGCACCCCATCAGTCTCCCTGGCCCTGGTTAAAATTCAGCTTTCCGTCCCTACCCCAGACCCCTGAACCACAATTCTCCAGGACTGTGCATATTAAACTCAGAATCTTCTAGGGGATTCTAACAGTGGGGAGACTGAGAACCACTGCTATTATGTTTCACATAAACCCACTGTTTAGAGGACACCTGTTCAATGAACGGATGAATACAGCAATAAATATTTGCTGTAGTCTGCAAACTTGCCCCTTCATAAGCCTCACCTGGGGTGCTTGCCAGTACAAATTCTGAGCCTTTCCCCAAGTTTTAGAATAGGAAGATGTGGGTAGGGTGGAGCAATCTACATTTTTTACAGATTTTCAACCAATGCGTATAGAGAAGGTGGAAGATTGTGAAATGTAAGAAAACGCCTTCCCTTACTCTCGTGGGGTCGGGCTGTGTCTGTCTAGCCAGGTAATGCTGTGACCCAATAAATGCATTTGCTCCTGGCCCCAGGAGCAAGGGGTGTTGACTCAGGGTGTTGGCAGGTAGGTGCCCACGGCAGGTAAAGGGACACGGAAACGTGATGCCAGATGCAGGAAAGCAGGCAGCACCAGGTGCTTGGCTCACAGGAGGGAGCGGGGCTAGGGCCAGAACGCGGTGGGGGCGGGGTCAGAGCTTAGCCTCGTTCAAGCTCGCCAATCCGTGGGCTCGTAGCAGCCTCGCTCTCCGCCTCCCGCCGCCTTGCGAAGAGCGCCGCGTTGCTATAGGCCAGCGGAGGGTTCTTCCGGCCGAGGGGGCGGGCCCCACGTGGTGGCGGGAAAGCAGTGGTCAAAGCACCTCCTTGGGGACGCTGAGAGGCCGGAGGCGGCGGCGAGTCTCCGGTGGGCCGCTGGCGCCGGCATGGACGCCGCCGAGGTGGAGTTTCTGGCTGAGAAGGAGCTGGTGACCATTATCCCGAACTTCAGTCTGGACAAGATATACCTCATCGGGGTAAGGGCGCGGCCCCGGCATTTGCCTAGGCCCTAGCGGGTGAAGCCCGCGCCTGGGAGAGGCCGGGCCGCCAGGGCTTCTGCAAACGCCGACTCGCCTTCCTCCCTTTCCACGTCTCGGATGGGAAGCTGGGAGGAGGACTCGGCGTTCCCAACCCGCGGAGGCCTGCGTGGAGCGGGCAGGAGCAAATTTCGGAGCCGGAGGGCGTGGGGTATCCCGGCGGTATCCCGTGCCTCCCAGGTGTTCTCGGGCGGCCTCCCCCCAGCGCCTCGGAAAACCGGACTCAGGTGGGCTGTCAGGTGCCCTGCCGCTCAAGAAGAGACGTGGGGCTGCCTCCCGCGGCTCCGTGACCACTGGGGCTTGTGTTTGGACTCAAGTTACACAGTGCTCTTTCTCTTATTTGACAGCAGCGAGGTCCAGTAATGCCGTGGCTCTGCTTTGTCTCACGTGAGTTTGTTTTTCCTCGGGCAGGGAGACCTGGGACCCTTTAACCCCGGCTTACCAGTGGAAGTGCCTCTGTGGCTGGCGATTAACCTGAAACAAAGACAGAAGTGTCGGTTGCTTCCTCCAGAGTGGATGGATGTGGGTAAGGATGTGGGTGGAGGCCCGGGAGGCCTCCATGATCCACTGATCAGTAGAAATTAATGGTTCCAGAGTCTCTCCTTGAGTCAGCTGACCGCTATTACTGATGTCGTGTTAGTTTGGAGTGTGTATATCAATTTTAGTTCAGATTTTGTTTCTAAGTTATTTCAACTTGCTTTAAGATTACAAGTATTATATGATCTTAAAGAAGCATTTGTTTTAATTTTTAAAGAATAAGTACATAGACTAACATGTTGAGGAGCAGCCCTATCTTACATTATAGAGAATGCAAGAAAATAATGCATCATCCACATAAGAGAATATTATTTAACCATATAAAGGAATGCCACAATGTGAATGAACCTTATGCTAAGTGAAAGAAGACAGACACAAATGCGAGAATGTGGACGAAAACCTTATTCTAAGTGAAAAGAAACAGACACAGAGACCACATATCATTCCATTTATATGAACTGTCCAGAACAGGCAAATCCACAGAGACAAATTAGTGATTGCCTAGGGAAGAGGGTTTGGGAGTGATGGAGGGATGGTGAGGGTCCTTTCTGAGGTGACAAAAATACTAACAACCATTGAATTGTGTACTTTAAATGGGTGAATTGTATGGTATGTTTATATAAACCTCAATAAAGCTGTTAGAAAAAGCAAAGACAATAATGCATTAAAAATGCAGACAGACTTTATTCTTTGCGATCTTTCCCCACCTCGGAGATGTGAATGGCTCATTATAGTAAAGAATTTTAATTTGGGGGGCGCAGGGTGTAATGAGCATGCATGTAGAATTTGAAAAGCCCGGATTTTGATTGCCCCCTCCCCATTGGAAATCTGGAGCTAACTGCCTCTTAGAAGCAAGGACACTTTCAACCAGTTTAAGAAAGACTGCTTGGGTATGTCCTCTTTACTTCTCATCCTAAAGGGGTGAGTGGTCCTGAAACTTAATGGGAAACTCCAATTACTTCTGCTTTAAAGGGCTTTTTAAGTCTCACCAGGCCTGGCTCTATTAGGGCTGCTTCCCCGTAAGTCCCCTTATTCTAGATCGGCTTCTGGAATGTTTGGTCCATGCAAACCCTAGATGTTACAGGGCAAGAGCCTGCCTCATTGCAGGCCAGAGTTAGAAGGTGTAGAGAGAATTCGCCTGGGCTGCTTCATCAGCCTGGGCCACACTGCGGTGAGAAGTAGTGAAATATCACTAGTGAGTTGACCCTGCCCAAGAACCAACAACCTTCTGATCCTGTCGACATACATTGGTTCTTCCTCTTCTTGGACTTTACATAAATGGAATTATCCAGTATGTGAATTTTGGTCTCTGACTTCATTCAACATGACATTTTGGAGATTTACCCGTGTCGTTGCATGTGTCGTTGCATTCCTTTATTGCTGAGTAGTGTTCCATGGTATGCATATGCCACAATTTGTTCACCCATTCTTCTTTTGGTGGATATTCAGGTTATTTCCCATTTTTGGCTATTGTGAATAAGACTGTGACCATTCTTGTCCAAGTCTTTTTGTGGATGTGTTCTCTTTGGTAAACCTAGAGTCGTGGAATTGGAGGGTTGTAGGGCAGACTGTGCTTAACTGTGTAAGAAATGGGCAATGAGTCCTCCAGAGTGGTTGAGCCATTATTATAATCCTTCCAGAAATGTCCAGGGGTTCCCAGTGTTCCGTGTCCTGGCCAGCACTGGGTGTTGTCAGTCTTTTCTTGATCCGTTGCAGGGTTTGAACAGAGGTGCTTCATACTCTGATTTAGAGGCTAAAAAGTAAAAGTGTCCGCTGTGCAAAGAAGATGTGTGTGGGGAGAGGGCAGTAGAGAGTTACCCAGACAAGAGCTGAGGGCGACTTCACCAGCTGATAAAGGGGAGCAGTCGTGGTGGGAGTCTAAGTGTATTTTGAAGGAAGAATCAGCAGGATTTGCTGATGGGCTGGCTGTGAAGTGTGAGAGGGAAGAGTTAAGGATGAGCGCCAGGGTTGCGGGCTTGAGGTCCAGAAGGAGGTGGAATTGCCCTTTCCTGAAAGGGGGATGACTGCAGGAGCGGGTCGTGGGCTGGAGTGGGCACCAGGTGTGGAGGTTTGAACGTGTCACTCTGGAGGTGCCTGTGAGATATCCACGTGGAAATAATGCGGGTAGTGGGGTATTTCGAGTCAGGAATTCCAGGGAGGGGATATAAATTTGGAAGTCATCATGAACACATTGTTGGTATTTAGATGAGGCAGGATGAGATCACGGGATGTGGGTTAAGGTGGTGGAGAGGGGTCAGAGAATGAGCTCTGTACTCCAGTATTGAGAGGTCAGGAAGGCCAGGAGGAATCAGATGAGAACTCAGAGTGGTGCGCCAGAAGCTGCATGATAAATACACTCCACAGACGAGTACTGACCCACGTCAGGTGTGGAGACAGAACCATTGGGTTTGGCCGAGTGGGGGTCGTGGGCCTTGGTGAACTGTGTTGGTGGAGGGGTAGGATAGACACCCATCTGAGCAGTTGAGGAGAGGAAGTAAATGCCAGAGTCAGGTAACTCTTGAAGTTTTCATTGTAAAGGGCTTGAGAAATGGATTGGTAGCTGGAGAAAGATTTGGTGTCAGGGTCGGGTTTACTTTTTAGATGGGAGATTGTGTAGCTTGTGTGATGGAATGGTCAAATAATGAGGGAAATAATGATCATTCAAGAGTGAGAGATAGTTGCTGGGTGGTGTTCCGTGCAGGTGAGAAAGAAAGGTCCAGTGCATACCTGGAAGGCTGGCCCTTGTGTATGGGGACGGACGCAGGGGAATTGGGGAGATGTGGCAGGAGAATGCGGCACTCAGCAAGGCAGCGCCTGAGAGCTGGGGCAGCAAGATGAGAGAAGGCGTGAAGCGGGTGGGCACGATCAGAAGCGAGAGGGCGCGTGGACTGGGGAAGTCTCACAGGATTGCAGGAGAGTACAAGGGCTCCCTGGAGATGGTCAGTCCTTTAACGAGAGACCCCACAGCATAGTTGTGCCTGTGTGTGTGTCCTGTAGCAACAGTGGGCGGTCCAGATTCATTCAGGACTGGAGGTTTCTCAGGCTGGTAAGTCGGGGAGAGAGGGGAAGACAGTTGTGGCATGTGCAGAGGAGTGTTACCGCTGGATGGAACTGGACTTGGCTGTTTGACTCCAGATGCTGGGCTTTCCACCTCCCAGACTGGAGTGGCTATAGTTGTAAGTTGACTTGTTCTTCTGAACAAAGCTTAGTATAAATAAATTTCTCCAGTCACTGGTTACTTTTATCACTTCTTGTGTCAAAGGTAGAATACTTTGCTTTTTCTCTAAGAAAAGAACTTCTGGGTGACGTGTTCTTTTCAGTAATATATTCTGCAGACCAAAGTAACAGCAATAATTTATACCTTCTCAGGGGTAGATTTTCAAGGAACTAGGCCCTAAATCAAATGGTTAGTGATATTCCAAAAAGTGTTTTTCATGTATTTGTTAGTTGATTGACTAGGAAATATAGGTACTTGGTACATTTGGAGGTTAAAAAAAACTTTCAGTTATGGCGATGATAGAATGTATTCACTTCTAAATTTCAGAAAAGTTGGAGAAAATCAGGGATCATGAGCGAAAGGAAGAGACGTTTACCCTTATGCCTAGTCCTTACTACATGGAACTTACCAAACTTCTGTTAAATCAGTAAGTAATCTCACTTCTTAGAGTCCACATGTAAGATTGAACTCACGATTCTCATCCCTTCACCCCTACCCTTCCTTTCCTGTTCCAGGCTCATTACTGAGGTAGGTGGTAACCCTGCCACCCGGTTCCTTAGATCAGGAACCTGGGAGTCATCTGTGCACGTGTGCCCGCTTGCCTGGACTCTTTACTTTTGTCATTTTTCCTTTTCTCCACCCCCCTCCTCCCAGTAAATCCCTTGGTTCTTTTCATTCTACCTCCTAATTATCACTTGACATTGGACGCCAGTATGAGCCTCCGTCATCTCCAGCAGTAGATTTTCTTAACTACAAATGTCTCATTAGTAAAGCTTTCCCCCTTTTTCCTTCTATGGGTATGTGTGTTTGAGTTCTTGCCTGTCTGTTACATGAAGGGCCGGAGGTCTCCCATTTGCCTCTGACCCTGAGCTATAAGAAAAGCCCACCAGTGGCAAAAATGCGCTGTAGTAAATCGTTTTCCTACATCCAGTTCTGGCTCCCCATCGGCTTGTCGTTCTCCACGTTGCAGCCAGAGTGGTCCTTGAGAGATGAAGCTGCCATGTGACTCCCCTTCTCCTCAGAGCCTTTCCAGGTTTTCGTCTAAAGTCCCAACTGTGATATTCAAAGCGTCGCAGAGCCTAGTTTCCTTCTTCTTTCTCTCACATCTCTTCTCACAGTTCTTCCCTCTGATTCTCTAGGTTCCAGGCTCACGCTGGCCTCTTTTACTTCTTTATACATAGCACGGTCCTCAGGGCTTTGCATATACTGTACCCTCTGCCACTAAGTCCATCTGTTGGCTGCTCCTTTTTTTGGTTTAGCATAGTAGGTACTCCCTTCCTGTCCTACTTGTCCTCTTGGCATCTCTGTACACCTCCACTGCATTTGTCAGTTATAATTTTCTAATCACTTCTCAGGCTGTGCTCCTCTGCCCCCAGTTCTAATGGGCAGGGAATGTGCCTTGTGTGTACTAAGCAGTGCCTGGTGCTTACATTAGTTGAATGAATGAGTGAATGAATAAGATCAGTGGAGGGGGCAGGCAAGTGTGGAGTTTTGCTTGGGATAGACTTAGAGTGCAATTTGTAAAATGTCAAGTTTTGACACTTTTTAATTGATGGATTCAAGAGCAGAACTAGAACAAAACTTGGGGAGCTCCCTACTGCCTGTGTAGAGCAGCAAGGGCCAGGGGCCCACTGAATGGCACTCTGGATGCAAATGAAAATTCAGGGTATAAAACACGAGTTGTCCTTTAGTTGATACGAGGCTGCAGTTCACAACTAAGTGTTCCACTAGGTAGTGGAGATAGTCATGTAGGCTTGAGTTCCTGGTTTAGTGGGGGAGATGTTACCCTGTTACCCAGTAGTCACAGTGCAGTGTGATAAATGCTGCTTGGAGTATGTTGGGATGCAACCCTAATGCCTGGTGGTGCCAGAGAAGGATCCCAGGCTGGAAGGATGAGGGGAAATTT